TTATTCTATTTCTAAGTTTAAAGGTTACATACAGTGACTGCCAAAAGTTCTCGGCTAATGAGTCATTTTATTGTATTGCTCAGATAAAGAATCTTTACAAAAATTTATTCAAGTATTTTAATATATGTATTAGTTAGTATTTATAATATTGTTATTAATCCAGATAACATTTATGTCGCATAAAATATTTAAAAGATATCTTTTAGATGTTTTATGTCTAAAAAATGTTTAAAAGATGTCTAAACGACGTCTAGATATCTTATGCAACATACATGTTATCTGGGTAAGTTGATTATAGTAAAAATTTTAACTTATAATATAAATTGAGAAACAGATTGACAAAAATTATCATAAAATTACATATGTTAGCGGAACTTATTGACCATCATATAGACATTAAAAAAGATATTCATCATAATTCGCAAAAATTTTTTATCTACATTTTATTTTGCGAACTAATAAAATACTTCGATGTGCTTGCTTTCCCAATTCTAAAATACTCAAAATTCTTGTGAACTAACTAACTATATTGGGACGAATTATCGCGATTGGATTCAATTTTGTTCCCGTTTGATTTTTGCTATCGCGTGTTTCTTTATGAGACGCGTAGAAATTTTACCGCCTACATGGTGCACATAATTTCGCTTGTAGATTACGCAGCGACGTTACCTACTCCACTCGTACAGAAGAAGTGAAATATCGACGCAAGTAGTATCGTAATCGAATTTACACCTGGCGAGTGTCGCGCCGAGTGGCACTGTCGCTGTAAATTCTTGTGGGGAAACTGCCGCAGGAACGACCTGCGTAAATTATCTACCGTAATAGGCCTCCTGGAAATACTCTTCTTGCAGTCTCTCCTCCTTCCCCACGAAATCACGATCACGACTTCAGCATCTCGATAATGTCGCGATAAGTCGCCGCAAGTCAACGTTCTTATATAGCGGGTATCTCGGACATAGATAACGCAAGGATAGATAACTAAGAAGATAATAGTCATTTTAATGAAGAAATTTTGATATTTACATATGTAGATATCTGATATCGCGGATTAACGTAATTAACTCTCACGTGCCTTAAATTTCTCAACTCACATTTTTCAATTTATTAATATATTTGTTGTTAATAAATATTATGATAT